CCGAACCGGTCCGAAACCGGGAACCGACTTCGGCCAAAATCAAGAATCGAACCGGCCCGGCGGTTCTACCGGTTCCCGGTTCCTACCGGTTCCTGTCATGTCTTCAAATGTTGGAACCGGTCTTCGAAAAATAGCATCATACGGTTCCGATTGCCGGTTCTACCAGTTTTTGTAGGTTCTATCGGTTCCGGTTCCTACTGGTTCCAAAAATCCACAAAAATAACGTTCCGGTCCCAGCCCGACCGGTTCCATTAGGTTCCGGTTCCGGTGCCGGTTCCGATTCCGGTACTAGTTCTGGCCGGTTCCCCGGTCCATATGCTCATCCCTAATACAAACCCCATCTCTCTCTCTCTTTTTTATATATATATATATATATATATATATATATATATATATATATATATATATATATATATATATATGATTTTTTAACTAAAGAAAAAAAACAACATAACTCATAGGGTTCTTTTTTTATTTTTTCTTTTCTTCTTTTATGATTTCTTTGTTAAACCATGCGTACTAAATGTTAATTTTTACATTACTATTCAAATGTAAATTTATAATAATTATCATCGTTTTAATTTTAATATATATATATATATATATATATATATATATATATATATATATATATATATTCAAAAACTAAACATATATAAAAGTTATTATCATTATAATTTCAAGGTTTGAAACCGTATAAAAGTTTAATCACAATTATGTGAAATTAAGTTGTTTATATCTTTTTATTTTTGTATAAGTACGACTTTTATTTGGTATCTAAAACCGATTGTAATATAAAAATAATATTAATATAATTAATTTATAAAGTAAATTTATGGTCTAATGCAAGATAGATCAGACTTCTTAAAATGGATTGTGCTTTTAAATTTTTTTTATTAGTTTTATTTGTAAATATATTTACTAAAATACAATTAAGTTTTTCTTAAAAACAAACGAAATATATATACGATGTTCTAAGTTGTTTAACAAAAATAAATTTATTGTTTATTATTTGATAAACGAACGACTCTAAACATATTTTTCTTTCGTTTAACTAAGCAAAAAGTTTTAACAATTGTTTTTTCCTTCGATCACCAAGAACAATCATATATATTCATTCGTTTAGTATCTCGAACAATAAATATATTGTTCCTCGTATCATAAACAAAATATAGAATGTCATAGTGTATATATATATATATATATATATATATATATATATATATATATATATATATATATATATATATATATATATATAAAAAGTAATATGTTTAGACTATAATAAGAACTGTACATATAACTTATTATATAAAATCGCTAATATATGATGTATTTATTTATATAAAAAAATACTAAAAGATAAAAATTAAAAATAATATAAAAATGAGAAACTTAATATGTAAAATTTATTTACATCATATGCCGGTTTGATGAAAATAATAATAATAATAATAATAATATAGTAATTAAATAATAAAGTTTTTGAAGTGAAATGATTATATTGTAAGAGAATTATGTTGAATATAATGATTAGGTTAAATGATATCGTAATAATAACTTAAAAATAAGTCTAATGATATTTAAGGATGGTGTAGGTTGGTGTGTCCATAGTAGAACCTTTATAGAAAATGGGTGCGCCAAACCTAGGGGTGGGCTGATGTACGTATCAGGGATAATCATAGTATTTCTCAAATTTCCTAGTGCAGCGAAAAAAAAAATTAGAATTTTTTTGATGTAGTTTAATGTTTTTCGTGAGCTATCCTGAAAATTTATGTATGCTATTAATTACCTTTCGTTCTGGTTCTGCCACTGGCCAAGCCCACTCGCTATACGCACTAAGCATGCCAAACACCGACCCCTTGTGCACGTTAAGGAGGCTCGACTTGCATATATATATATATATATATATATATATATATATATATATATATATATATATATATATATATATATATATAAAGAGAGAGAGAGAGAGAGAGAGAGAGAGAGAGAGAGAGAGAGAGAGATTATGGATGTCAAGACCTCCGTGAGATCCTGATCCCGTACGGGACTAAATTTTTAAAAAAATCGGGAGAGGGGGCAAAATTAAACCCCATTTATTTTCGGGATCGGGGTCGAAAGTTGGTATTTCCGTCCCGTACTCCCGCGGGGACCCCGATTGTACATTTATGAAAAAAAAATATATTTAATATAAAAGACATATACAAAATATATTTTATAATTTTAGGTTTAGGTTAAGTTTTACTTTCCCGTTTCCAATTAATGGATATTGAAGAGCTAGTGAATTGATTCTATAATTTTGGACATGTAAGTATTTTATATTTGTAATATTGGATTTGTCGTATTTTATATTTATAATGTCATTTTGTAATGTTGGATTCATAATGTTGGATTTTTATTTTTTTTAGTTTCTAAAAGATTAGGTTTCAAACTTTTAAAGTTGTTAAAAATAGTCTTTTTAGCCTAAACCAAAGTAGTTGTTTAACAAAAAAAAATCGAATTTTAAGACTATAAACCGGGGGAACGTGGGCGGGACCGGGAGCGATGGAGGTAACCGGGGACGGGACCGGTGACTATGTAACCGGGGGAGCCGGGCGCGGGACCGAAAGCAGGGGGCACAAACTGATTTCAAGGTTGGGAGCGGGGACAACTATTTCATCTCCCGTTTGATCCCGTTGACATCCCTAAAAGAGATCTACTGGTGGTGGACCTTATGATCAAATTTGATCAGTCTTGGCCAAGACTTTGTTATACTTTCTAAGTAATTTTTGTTAAAAAAAATTTGCCCTTTTTTTATAAAATTCAAAATTTTAAAATTTCTTCCAACTACTAAAAATACACACCTAGACGTTAACATTTCACTACAAAAAAATATTTAATCGGCCAATTAGCATATTTGTCAAAAAAATTCTAGTGTTAGGTCATGTTTTTATGTTTTAAGTTATTTATTATGTTTTAAGTCGTTTTTTGATATTAATGATATAAAAAAATAGTGATCTCAATATATATATATATATATATATATATATATATATATATATATATATATATATATATATATATTCAGATCACTATTTTTTTGATATCGTGAATATCAAAATCAAACTATTAATCTAGAATGTTGAATCATACTAAATTGGACGTACATGTATCGGATACAAAAAAAAAATCATTTATTTTATTTATTTTTGTTTTTCAGTTTTTAGACTTTATTTTTTTTATCAAAAATAAAAAACTAAAAATACCAAAATTAATAAATTTTTGCCCTCTATAAATAGACATTCATATTAATATATAGTTTTTATGTTTTTTTTTTGTGTGTGTGTATAATGCATATTTGTGTTTGTACATGTAAAATGTGTGACTGGAAAACCTTTTTTTTTTAATTTGATTTTTTTTTTCTAAAAGTCACATTCTATAGCAACATCTTAGCCTATGAAGATTTTCTGTGATAACGAATGTGCGGTTGCCTTGATCATAGAACCGAGAGATCATGGTAGATCCAGACATATTGACAGAAAATATCATTTCATCAGACATCGGGTAGAAGAGGGACTCCTCGTAATAAAGAGTGTATCGTCATAGGATAACCCATCAGATCCCCTTACGAAGGGACTGAGTAGGGTTAAGCACTTGCAGCACGCTAGGAGCATTGGGCTGAAGGACGATATTAGTTTTAGTGATTAGATAGCCATAGAAACTTGTAATAGATAAATTTTAATTAACATTTTGATGATTAAATAAAGGAGTGTTATTTAGGAGTAATGTTAGTGTCTTATGTCAATTATTTACTATTGTTTCATTTTGCATGTTTTGACTTCCCAAATAATAAATTATTTAAACTATCCACAATCGCTCATACTTTGGAAGTAGGTATGAAATAAAACTGTCATGAATTGGCTTGTAGATTGTCTAAAGCATTTAGACATAGCAAAAGTTTGTTGCAACGTTCATGAGTGCTCCTGAAATAAGATTTGAGTATTGGATTAAACCCACGCTCGCTTGAATCAGTTCATGGAATTAATCACGAGTGATTGTGAGACGATAATATCATATAGTCTTTAAACCTAGATATATGGTTTATTGTTTGCGATTTGGTTGTGTATTGATAATGTGTAAACACATTAGTAACTTGATGTTATAAAACGCATTGTTGTGTATGATTTGATGAGTAAATAGTAAATGCATATAAGTCGAAGGTTACATGTTCCTTTTATCCTACGAGGGTAAAAGCGATACCTTGGGCCCCTCGATGATTTAGGTTGACTTATGTGTTGGGCCCGGTCAGGACTAAATTGATGTGTTCGATTAAGTTCTATGTTAGACAGATCAAAGATCGAGAAAAAAACTGCTGGACAATAAGTATGACTATGTTGCATGTGATTGTCCACACGATATCTTGAGAACGGAGGACGATACGATCCCTTATTTATAGGACGTGTCATTGACTAGGTCAAAGTTCGACAGCGACTTTTGAGAGCTACAATTGCTAATCGGATCTTGAATTTACATTGACAGATATAGTTATTAGACTTATCCAAGTGGGAGACTGTTGGATTAAGTGTCTAAGCCCATAACTATAATTGATATTGTTAGGATTAAAATCCTTAAGGATCGATTAGATTCAGAAAAAGTAAAAGAAATAACACAATGATGAATCAAGAATGTCGAATGCTTAAGTGTCACGCCTTAGAAGAACTCAATGGAGAATTTCAACTGTAGAGGCGTGATTAGGGTTATAGCGTAATGAGCAGAGTTAACTAAAATAAGATGCATTCATGCACCATAAATACTCTAACCCTAGAAATAAAGACGAGCAGACAGGCACAACTCGTTTACATATAAGACTTAAAAAAAAGCCCAATGACGCAACACCATAATCCCACAATCTCCCCCTTTACGTCAATTGAGGCGAGAGTCTTTTAGTTGAGAATCTTCTTTTGCATTTCAAAAACTTTAGGGATTACGTTCAACAATGCCTTGCGAACCTGGATATATCAACAGATCATATCCGAAAAGCACTTCTTGTCACCAGCACTGTTGCCTCTGAATTTGTTGGTCATACACAAAACATGGTTTAGATAAGATGTAGAGTACAAGTGTTTATCCTCAAGAAAGAAGCATGCATTGTGATAATCAGAGTTATTTCGTTCACGTGCCTGGAACACCATATACCAACCTTCCTTGTAGATATTTCTCAGTTTCAACTTCTCAAGATCTTTAGGAGCTTGTTTGGGAACAATTGAAGGCTTCCTTCGCAGAACAACAACAATCTCAACATCCATTGTACCCATTTCCTGAATGTATGAGATAATCATAAGTTTAAGATGGTTGATCACAGGTTCATATTTTTCTCTTCATGAATAAGCAGATTGTAGAGCATAATCCATTCATAAGGATTGATACACAGCAGGTCTGCGAGAGAGAACTCAAAAACTTGGCTTGCAGAACCCCTGACAACTTTGAATTTGGGGTTTGCGAAGCTGTGAGTCTCGATAGTTCCAGTAACCTTAACTTCTGTGATCTTGCTCGCACTCCAGGTCTCGTACCGGGGCTTCATAATTTAAGGTAAAATGCGAACAAAAGTTGATCAGCTCCATTGTCAGTTAAGGGAACGTTCACAACTTTGATGAAAGAGCAAAGCTTAAAAGGTTTCGGAGTCATTGGAAGGTCAAGTTGTGAGTCCTGACTGTTTTGAATTTCAAAGGACACAACATGTTCTAATTAATATTGGTTTGGCAAGTCAACAACTTCGTTTTGAAGATGCTTCAGAGTCCACGCAAGGAACAAAAGCTTTTTACTCTCAAGTGTGACCTAAGCTTCTTTTTCAGCCTTCTCTTTGGCTTCAGCTTTGCGAATGATACATTGATGTTCGTCCATCTCAGCTTCACGAGCTTTTCTCCTTTTCAATTCAGCTTCATAAAGCTCTTCCTCTTCTTTATTGTCAATGATGGGATCACTAGAGAAAAGTTTCTCTTTACCCTTTGACTCCGTTTTGTTAACTGGCACATGCTTGACCATAGTTGGTTTTTGTTTCGCAACAATTGGCTTTATTATTGGCTTTGGTGTTGGCTCTGTTGGCTTTGGCTGATCTCCCCCTTATTTTGGAATGCTGGACGATTCTGAAACACCTTCCAAATGATGAAGAATAGCGAACGCAGTTTGTAGCTTTTCTCCCAGATGTTTTCGCACATTAAGGGGAATCATCAAGTCCCTGGCTTCAATAAGATCTGAGAGCAAGGAAATGACATCAGAGATGCAACTTTTCATGACAGCCTTCTCTGATAACAGATCTTGGACCTATTTCTTTGAATGTTCGAGCTTCAGAGAAAGTGTTTTAACTTTCTCAGTCTTCATAGCGAGGACATCCATTACTTTGCTTTCTATCGCAAGAACATCTTGAAGGTTGGAGAGTTGAGAAGAGATGCAAGACTGGAACTTCTCATGGCCACCTTTAAGACCATTGCGAATGTCTAGAAATTTGGCCCTTTCAGACTTGAGAGAAGTGCTCAAGCTGGAAATCACTTGGTTTTTCGCAACTATGTTGGAATCAAATGACTGCTGAAAATTTTCCATAAACACCCAAGTATCAGAGATTAGTTTATCGACTTTTTCGATCATTTCGTTGTAGACTTTTGTAGATCCATCTACTACATTATTCATCCTTGCAAGATTGGATGAATGTTCCTTGGTGAGAGTTTTGAGGATGGACTTGACAGAGGCTTGAGAGTAGTCGTCAGAAGGCTTAGATGCTTGAAGCAATGAATCAAGCTTGTCATGAATGGCTTGGAGTTGCCCCTTCATTACTGGAACGTCATCATCAACTTCAGTTCTGATGGTGAATGGACTGAAAGTAAAGCCTTGGAAATCATCCTTGCCATCCCCATAAATCATGTCAGGGTCATTAGTGTGAAAGGGGGAAATAGGTGGAGAGATATGAGCGGTGGTGAAACCTGATACTCCATTCCCCGTATCTGATGTGTTGATAGAAAAAGCAGGTGTGGCTTATGTAGTTGGTGGGGGTGTGGATTCAGTGAAGATTGGAATAGACAAATGAATGGTAATATTTGAGTAGAGATAGGTGGAGGGCATGGTGTAATGGTGATTAGGATAGAAGTGGTGTTAGGGGATGGAGGAGGAGAAGGAACAAAATCGTTGATAATTGGAGTTACCTCAGGATTTGATTGTTGTTCTTCATTGTGAACGATGTCATTATCGTTATGAACATCTTCATGGTGAACCTCCTCATTGTGAACCTCTTCAATGTGAACTTCTCTGTTGTGCTCCTCCTCATTACGAATGTCGGACTGAGTATCAAACTCCGAATCTGCGCTTTCACTAGGAGTGGGAGTCTTGCGCTTGCGAGATGTTTGCTTTCATGTTTTTGGTATAACAGTAGAAGAAGCGGTTTTCGCTCTTCGCTTATTTGGTGTGTTCACATGCCCATAAGGTCCTTCTTTATCAACATATTTATTTTCTCCCCTCTTCGCACCCTTTCCCCTTTCTTGGGTTTATCTGACTTAGCGATTATTGTTTGCAATTCAGGGGTTAAAGGATGAGCCCCAAATGGAGTCAATTTCATGTAGCCCTCCAGGATTTTGATAGAAGATGGAACATCATGAAACATTACTTCTGGAATTAAGCCAGTGAATGAAAACTTCGAAATGTTAGATACAATGATGTCAGTAGTGTGAAAAATGGAGATAGATGCCATCAGTGCATCTTGCTTCAGTGGGATCTGGAGGTGGTCAATGGCCTTTTGGACAATGATAGTCCAAAAATGTGCACAAGAGATTTCACTATGACGTGAAGTAGAAAGTGTGCTCTGAATTACTTGAGCCCAAAGAACAGAGCCATAGTCAAGATTGGAACCTATGTAGAGGCCGTAAAGAAATGCCATGAAAAGCTTGCTTGCATAGTCTGACCCTATCACCCTTTCATAAAAACCTTTGAAAAGCAAAGTGAATAGAGCATTCCATTATGGAGCCAAGTTGGGTTTCTTGAACTTCGAGACAACGGTTAGGGTTTCCTGTAACCCATCTGGTAGAACATCTCAATAAAAGCAGCACTAGGAACCGTTTCTGGATTTATCATATCTTCTGTTTGAGGAAGCCCTAGAAGAGAACAAAAGTGAGATTCAGTGATAAATGTGGTACGATTGTGGATTTCAAGCTTGATTCCTTGTTCTTCCTTGAAATAAAGACCTGATGAGTAAGCTTTAGAGAGAAGCGATAACAGGATATTCTCCATCTTGGAGAGCGCAATAGTCAAAGGAGAGTATTTCAAACACTCGGCTATAGGAAGCATAAAGGCGTCGTACTTGCAGGGATCGAGATCAATCATCAAGTTCTAATTTTGTTTGACGGCCAACAGTGATGAATGAACTGTTTGATCTTCAGTGGAAAGATTTTCTGAAGAACCTGACATTGTTGATGCTTGAAAGTGAAGAAGATGAATAGTTGAAGTTTGAATCGCTAGAAATCTCTTGAGAAGATTGTGTTGGTGATAATGAGAGAAGAGTCATCAAAATCTTTATATACAATTCAATTTGTGAAATAAATCCAGAGAGAGAATGCATCGGTTACCGAAACGTCGCCTGAAAAAGCGCGACTTAACAACTGTAGATGTCAGACATGTGCGTCATACGGTGGAAAAGTAGCCGCCTGTTCAAATTTGCACGTGCCTTTTTGAATTCTTATCATCAGGAACTGCTGCGTCAGAATCCACTTTCGTAGTTAAACATTCTTTGACCCATCCATCACGAACATGCGTTTTTAGGAAAGTTGGGTTAACCCGCGAATCTAAAAGTAACATTAAGAACCACGAACAAGAATTTTGGAAGATCTCAAGGATCTTCATGCAAGAGTGTCAAAGATTAAGTAATAAATAAAAATATATTTGAGGAATTTTGCGATGTCTATATAAAGACACAAAATTGTTGATCCCGGGCATAGATCGCTTCCTTCGAAGTTAAGAGAGACTAAGAAGTGACTGTGTGGTTTCCCATTGAAATACGATCAAATGTTTGATAAGAAACATTGAAAGACATCTTTTAATTTGGTTAAACGGGTGGCTAAATCTCCAAACAAACAACGCACTTAATATAAGTACGAATGTCAGATGAAGTACTCATGTGACCAGTGTAGTCAGTTGAACGAGTAGGCTTGGAATTATTTTAGTGACTAGACAAAACTTTGAACTCTAAAAAAATAAATTTGGATCTTATGGGAAGAAGTGACTTGGTACAGGAACACTCCATAAAGATCTCGTAACAGAAAAGAGATTCCTTGGTATAGACCACGAAAGTTGCTTTCGTTAATTCCATGGTGAAAATATAGAACATTTAACTATTCACCATCAATTCATGTAAGTGTGTTGGATTTTGGGTTTCACATAGTTCGTGGTGAAAGAATCTAAGCTTATGAACTCAGAAGTTGTGTAACCATAAACCTAGTGGTATTGCTGAGAGTCTCAAGGGTTACATTTATGAGTATGATGGCAAATGGAGAAGTGAGATGATGGTTCCAGAGAAATGAATGTGCATATGCTATACGAGAGTGACTAAGCAGATAACTCTTAACTCGAGGTGAAAAGAATGAGGTAGCTCTTGACTAATGTGAATTTAGCAGCCTATTTGGGAAGAAACGAATGGTAGATTCGATTCATTAAGGCTTCACATAAAGTCTATTGAGGCTTTGGTCAACATGCAACAACATGCTTGTAGGGACACCTAGCTAACACAGAGATAAAGAACCTTATACATGCCCCATCTCATGAATATAAGATAAAATCTGTGCCTCCATGATCTTCTTAAGGTATTTTTGATTGTTTTTGAGATTTGTGAAAAATAAAAAATAATAATAATAAAACAAACATAAATAAAATCTTTTTGTCTTTTATGATTTTCTAAAAAATAATTAAAGTAGGAAAGATTGAAAAACTAAGTAATGACATACACAAAGTACAAAAGGATATTTGAAAAATCAGAACCATGAATGAACAGTAGACTGCAAACTACTACGAACGCTCACACCGATTTGTAGTGTTAAAGTAGAATGCGAATAAACAGTGGACTACGAACTACTGCGAACGTTCGCACCGATTCACAATGCAATCATTATGTGTGCGAAAGTGGTTTTTGAACAGATGCAACTTCCATCATTCCTTGGCCTTGAAGGATCCTACTAAAGGTTGTTTCTGGAAAGGCCTTTGTGAATATGTCCGCTAATTGATCAGAGGATCTTACGAAATGAATTTCAACGTTGCCGTCTTCTACGTGATCCTTGATGAAATGATACCTCACTGCTATGTGTTTTATCTTTGAGTGTTGCATTGGGTTGTGACAAATGTGAATGGCACTTTGAGAGTCACAATATAGTGGGATTTTTTTCATGCTTAAGCCATAATCACAAAGTTGGCTTTAAATCCAAATAACTTGAGATTTACATGAGGCATTAGCTATATATTCAGCTTCAGCTGTTGACAAGGACAAGCACGTTTTTTTCTTGGATTGCCAACTAACAAGTTTGCCATCGAAAAATTGGCATCCTCCAGTTGTGATTTTTCTATCTAATCCGCATCCCCCACGGTCAGCATCCGAAAATGCTTGTACGAAGACGCCTGATTTCGCAGGATACCAAATGCCAAGTGATGAGGTTTGTTTCAAATACCTAAAAATGTTCTTAACGGCTACCATGTGAGGTTCGAGAGGATTTTCTTGGAACCTAGAACAATAACAAACAGAAAACATAATGTATGGTCTACTAGCTGTTAGATACATTAATGACCCTACCAGCTGACAATAAAGAGTCATATCAGCAGCTGGTTTTTCCATAGATGGTGTTAGTTTCGTTTTGAATGCCATTGGAACATTCACTTTAGAGTCTCCCATCATACCAAACCTAGAGAGCAAAGTCTTCGTATATGCTTCCTGATTTATGAAAATGCCTTCCGTTCCATGTCTTATATTCAATCCAAGGAAAAAGTTAATTGGACCCATGAAGCTCATCTCAAATTTAGTTTCCATCAATTTTCGGAAATTAGCTGTTAAGCTAGGATTTGTAGAACTGAAAATGATGTCATCAGTATAAATTTGGACGATCATCAAGTGGTCACCCTCTTTCTTGCGAAAGAAGATTGGGTCAATCGAACCTTGTTTAAATTTGGACATTTTAAGGAAGCGAGTAGGTGTTTCATACCAGGCCCTCGGAGTTTGCTTGAGACCATAGATTGCCTTATCTAATATGTAGCAGTGATTGGGATACTTCTCATTTATGAACCCAGGTGGTTGTTTGTTGGGTCAAAAATATGGTTTATACTTTGCTTTTCTGGGCAATTGTATTTTTATGTAATATTTTATGTGTTTACGGCCGTAAACCTATTCACAACTGTAAACTTGTGTTCGGCCCATGTTCCCTATAAATATAGGTGTAAGGGGTGAGGAGTAGAGTGAGAGTGAAAGAAGAGAGGAGCTTAAGTGTGTGAAACTTAAGGTGTGTTCTAGAGAGAGAAAGTGAATCTTGTGTAAGGAACTTTCAATCATATAATCAATGCATTCAAGATTCATCATATTCTTCTTCTCTTTCTCTTCTATTTTGATCTGACATCATCTGTTTGATTGGGATTCCGCACCATCAAACGGATCTGATTGATACTCAAGCATTTTGCGGACTTACAAGTGGTATCAGAGCTTGGATTGTATCAATCAATTTTGTCAAATCTGGAGCTTATTTGATCTTAAACGGATCTGATTAATACTCAAGCATTTTGCGGACTTACAAGTGGTATCAGAGCTTGGATTGTATCAATCAATTTTGTCAGATCTGGAGCTTATTTGATCTTATTTTGGAAGGATTCTTGCGTTTTTTGATAGATCTATGAAAATTAGGGGGAGGTTTGGTTCTTCACGTTTTTCATAAAAAACGAGTTCTGGAGTTTACGACCAGGGGAGTTTGCAGACCGGTGGTTTACGGTCGGAGTGTACGGTTAGCAAGTCTTTGACCATCATTCGAACCCGGGTCCCTTGGTTGACAATCCACGCTCCTTGCCAGTTGAACTACCAATATATACATTAAGCATCTTCCATTTTTTTTGCTTATATTGTCTTCGCAGCATCAACAAATAATCAAAAGGGTTTTTGGGGTTGCCAAGAATCGAACCCGGATCACCCGCCTCCTTTCCCCTTGCGCCTTACCAGTTGATCTACCAAGCCTCTTGTTCCATTCCTTCCGATTTTAATTGAAAAACACTCCTTTTCGAACCCAGTTTCGCAACTTTGTCATTTTTAGCCCAAAATTCAAAATCTTTTATTTTAAAATTCCATTTTCAACCAAAAATTATAGTTTTTAAATTTTTGACTTTTTACTTAAAATTTTGACTTTGACTTTTAAAATTTGACCTTTGACTTTAAAATTTGACTTTCTCATTTAACTTTTAAATTTTCAAATTTAGCTTTTCGGTTTGACTTTTCAAGTTTGACTTTTTAAATTTGATTTTTGAGGTTGACTTTTGAGGTTTGTAGTAAAAGGGTTTGACTTTGGCTTCTAGTTGTGCTTTTAATGACTTTTGAGGTCTACGAGGAAAATGAAGACATGAAAGAGAGTCATCAGGATATGTTAAGATAAAAGT